CCGGCGCCGGCGTCGTCGACGAAGTTGAGGGGGTCGTCCTGGGCGAGCGCCGGCTCCGCGAAGAAGTCCGCGCGCGTCCGGAGGAACGCGTCGCCTGCGGAGCGCAGCGGCGAGTGGTCCGGCCGCGCGGCGTGGGGCGTCGCGCCGCGGAGGCCGTCGTAGTCGCCGCCGTCGACGCTCCGGTGGACTCGGGGCCGCTCGGGCCGGTGGCCGCCGTGCTCGCGGACGAACTTGAGGAAGTCGCGGTAGTCGACGTAGTCCGGGTCGTTCGGCCGCGCGAAATGGGCCGCGAGGTCCCCAATGTCCGCGTCCGTGAGGTCCAGGTCCAGCGCCGCGAGCGCGTCGGCGAAGTCGCGCGCCGGCAGGAGGCCGTGGCCCGCCCGGTCGCCCATCGTGAAGGGCAGCAGGACGTCCAGCCCCCGGCGCTGCTGGTCGCCGAGCTTGTCCGCGACGTGGCGCGCGAGGAACGTGAGCTCGTTGTAGTCCTGCTCCGCGAAGCGTATGAAGTCGCGGTAGTCGACGCAGTCGCCGTATTTGTCGAAGCGCCGCGATATGGCCCGCGTGTCCTGCGCGCTCAGGTTCAGCGAGTGGAGCACGTGGAGGAAGTCGGGCGACTCGACGACGCCGCGGCCCCGGCGGTCGAAGCGCTCGAAGGCGCGCTCCAGATCCACGGGGCCGCCGTAGCGTAGACGCAGGTCCTTCAACGCGGCCCGCAGGCGCCGCGCGACGTCGCCCATCTGCGCGTCGCCCGCGAGCGCCGTCGGCGGCGGCCGGCGCCGGTCCCCGTCGTACCCGAGGCTCGCGCGCGACGCGCGCGCGTCGTCGTCGCGGAAGCGCGCGGGCGTGCGGACGTAGGGCGTCTCCGGCGCGTAGGTCTCCTCTTCCTCCGGCGCCTGGCCGTAGTGGAGCAGCCACTCGTAGAGCGTCTCGTAGTCCACCAAACCGTCCGCGCCCGCGGTGCAGTCGAGCACCGCGGCCCGCTCGTCGTCGAAGAGCAGCGGCCCGTCGGCCAGCAGCCACTCGCCGAGGTCGTCCAAGGCGTCGTCGAAGCCGTCGACGTCGACGGCGCCGACGCGGCGCCGGTCGACGTCCGCGAAGAGCTCGTGGAATCGCGGCCCGCCTGGGCAGGAAAAGAGAGATTCAACGTCGCTTCAACGTGAGTGTGCCGCGCGCGCGCGTTCCGGAAAAAGCATCCACGCTTCGAGACCGTTCCGAGAGATGATCGCTCGTCCAAAAATCAGCCGAAACGAGTGGAAAACGGCCGAGATCGGAGCCTTTGAAGTTGGGAATTTCGCTCTCTTTTGCTGCCCCGCGGCCCGCCGCGCCGCGCGGACGCCGCGCACGCGTCGAAGAGCTTGGCGCAGGCGGCGCCGAAGAGGCGCCGGGCCTGCTTCGGGGGCTTGCGCGCCGGCTCGGGCCGGCGCGCGACGCGGCGCGCGGGCGCCTCGCTGTCGAGGACCCGCTCGAGGAATAGCGCGTAGTC